GTATGTTTGATTTTCATTGGATTCTATCAGTATTATCTAAAAAAAATTGTTCGCCTCAACAGATATCATAAGAAAATCTATTAATCTCTTTTCTCGCTTCTTTGATGTTGTGTACTGTTCCGGATAACTAACATAGCTACCGCCGACTCTTGCCGAGAACTCATCAGAGAATGATAGTACAATGATAGTACTTAAAAGAAGTCTCCGATATTCAGGACATTCTTTCACTCTCCCCGTTTCTCAAAGTTGTTATTATCATAAGCAAACCTGATCTCTAGCGGTCTCTAGCGAATATCGGATATTTCAAACACGTCTAGTGCTTTATAAAAAAAAATAGCGAAAGGCGCTTCGGTCGAGCACGCTCAATAAAGATGACCGATTGTCAAAAGTTTTGCAAGATTCTCAATAGTGAGCCTAGTGCCTTTGTTAGAAGGATCACTTACAAAGGAAACACCGCGAACCCGAACTCTTTTATTTTAATGCTCACTTTTGTGAGTATGTAAAGTAAATCAATATATGAATAATGGTATATTTCATTGTGCTCAATCGCTATTTAAAGGTATGATTTACACTTTCAAAATAAAAAGGACGATCGACTTTTTCGTATATTACTCTTAAATTAAAGGAGAGAGAAAAAGATTTTTCGAATAAAAGTTTAATGATAAGTTAAATGCTGTAAATTTACATAAGCATAAATAAAAAAATGCCTATAAAAAAATTTTTTTTACAATAAAAAAAGGTATTTTTTTATTTATGCTTATGTCAATTTACAGCACTTAACTTACCATTATTTTTATTCGAAACATTTTTTCTATCTCAATTTATAAGTATAGTTTCTGGAATGGAGCCGTGTCTTGAATCAACGTTTCGCAAACGTTGCAGTTTGCATCATCAGGGCTGAGAACTCTTTTTTCTATCTCCTTTAATTTAAGTATAATACACTGAAAAAGTGGAATCACTTTATTTTGAGAGTGTAAATCATACCTTCAAATAGCGATAGGACACAAATGAAATATATCGTTATTCATGTATTGATTTACTCTACATACTCACAAAAGTGTATCAAAATAAAAAAGTTTGGGTTCGCGATGTTCCCTTGTTAGCCAATAGTGTAAAGTAAATCGGTGTAAACGAAAAAAAAGATAAAGAAAAAGAAACGCGTGACTCAAAACGGTAAGAGGAGATAAATGTAGGAGAAAGAAAAAGAAAGAAAAAGAAAGAAAATATATATTCCGAAAAAAGAACCAAAAATAGTAATATAAAAGGAAAATAACAACAACCCTGAGAGCAAGCCATAGTTCGCGCAATCGCGAATGAGGCAGATAATAAAAACGTCTAGAATCAAAGTATCTTTCCCTATATACTACGTATTACGTTAATTAGATGCGTCCTCGTCTCTGTATTTGAAAATATTAATAATATTGCGTCAAATATAAATATATTATCTGTTATAATTAGAATAATCATCAATTATAATCCCGCTAACTTCTGTCCTGCTATCATTTTGTCCTCTTCTTCTCTTTCTTTTTCACATCTTTTCTTTTTTCTTTTTTTTTTTTGTTTACTTAATTCCGTTGCTACTACTTCGGTCGCGTGCCTACCTCACAACTACATCATCCCGTTGTAATCTAAAATATATGTATATACACAGTTGCGGCAAAGGCAGCTGTGGCGGCAGAACGGGCTACTTGTTCCATATATTCGGTTTTCTTTCCTTTCTTTTCTTTCTTGTATTCCCCCGTTTTTCCTTTTGCAATATTCGCGAGCGTAAAACCCGGCCACCACATACACCGCGCGAACTACTACTACGCGAAGCGAGTGAAATCCTACCAAGCGTCATTAACGCACGCGCGATGACGTATCGTCGCCAATTCTCTTCTCGCGCTCAAAATCCTCACACTAGGGGCAAATATCGCACGTCAAATCAATCGTACAAAAAGAAGTGAAAAGAGCGGGGCAATGTCAAACGTGACTCGCTTAAACCTTCAAGATCAATACGCAACCAACGAAATGTACTACGAAACGAAAAGACGACTAACGAGCTTGATCAATTAGCACGCGTGTGTACGTGCGTGCGTGCGTGCGTGCGTGCGTGCGTGTGTGTGTATGTGTGTGTGTGTGTGTGTGTGTGTGTGTGTGTGTGTGTGTGTGTGTGCGTGCGTGCGCGTGTGTGCGTGTGTTCAATCGATTGCTCAATCCAGTTTTCCAGCTGCAAATCACCTTTTCGTTTCATTGCATGTTTCGTTAAATATGCCGCGGTGACTTCAATGTTTACAACACAGTCGCGTTTATTAATGTTTCGTTCATTATTTTCGCTCATCCCCGCGCGCGATTGGAATTTACAGCATCTTTTCCCCGCGACATCGCATCGCTAGTGAAAAAGAAATTATTGTAAAATTTCTAACAAAATGCAAAGTGTGTCTCTAAACTCGAAATCGACATGTATTAATAAATACGGTAGTGAAAAGAAAAAAAGAAAAAGATAATTGGCTTATTCTATACATTTGAATGCAATGCGATTCGACTTTATTGTTAAAATACATAATAATTGATGACATGAAAGGGGAAACAAACAACAGAAAATAAAAGATAACGAGTGATTAAAACACTCGTATTACACTTAAAATACAATGAAGCCTTACGCTCTGTCGTTTGATGGACAAGAAAAAGAACCTGGGCAATGGTAAATTACGTTATATGAGATCACATTTACAACACTTAACGAAATTGTTGAATTCGTAACTGTAATCTATCAATTATATTTTTATCTGGTAAAGAGTTTTAATTACATTATTATAATACTCGCAATTCTGATTGAAAAAGTAATAAGACACAACGCGATCCATTCGATAATAAACGTGAGCATTGGGGAGCACTCTTCCGAAATATTCTTTGTTTAGATCTATGGTATATAAATCCTACAGAGTAAATATAATTAAGTCATATATTTAATCAGGTAGAGTTTTCAGGTCGATGTCCCCCATCGAGATATTCACACGATTATAAAACCCCTCCCTCCACCTTATCTATCAATGATTTTTGTCTCGTTCTAACGAGAGCTAAAATTTAAACACTTACAAGCATCATCTCGCATAATATTTGTGATTCTTCACAATAATAATAGTATAATAGTAGTGCTTTTCTGGTAATTGCAATAGTAGCAATAGCAATAGTGATAAGTAGTAATATAATAATAATAGTTATACAATAGCAATAATAATATAGATAAGGATAATAAGATAGTAATGATAATAGTAACAATAATAACTGTATAGTCTTAGACATGCCTAATAATAACTATTATAAAGTCGAGGTAAAAAATAAACCAGTTTTCACATCTGGTACACTGTATGGTCGAATGGAACAACGACCATTAAGTTCTTATGATACAATTTATAAAAATCCATGATTGTTTTATATTTTACTTCTTATTTCTTTCCTTTCGTATTGATATTGTCATTAAATCAATGGAAGTAGAAAAATACAATCGCTAAACTAGAATCAAGAAAAGTCGCAACCAAAACAAGACAAAGAAAAGTAGAAGAAAAAAGGAACTGAGAGAAATACATATTAATATACTACTAGTGATATGACATGAAAGTAAAAAGAGACGCTCGCAACAACCGCATCCTGCTGTCAAAATTTATAAATATACATACACCATATCGAAATGATCTATATATACGTATATATTTTACACAAATCTATTTTTTTCTCTGTAGTTACTATATCAGTAAGTCAGCCTGTGATCATCTTACTTAATTATTTCATTAATTATTCGTTACCTTTTCTTTTCTTTGTTTTCTTTTTTGTCTCAATTACCCAGTATAACAACTATTTAATAAATACAAGATCGTGGAGGGACGAGTGCCTCGAATGTACAAGTCACTCGCTGACTTTCGGAGACCATAGTTTAATATTTCTCTGGTTTATTCTTATATCGTCTGTTATCAAAGCGCCTGCTACCGCGGTACGGGAGGTGAACAAGAATCGAAACTTATGCCATCCCCTGAGAAGAAATTCTCAAATAAGATCTTATTCACCTCCGTGCAAATGCCATTAACGATAATGATTAGCATTTTCCTGACTCTTTACACTCGCTTTTACTTATTTTAGTTCACTTATCAATCGCGCTCATTGTAAATTATTCTTATAATACTTGTATATCGCGCTTTCTGCCCTCTATCCCAGTGCCATACAAACTTCGCTTGCGCCATGGGTACATATCCTAATTCTGCTTTGCTTCCGTTCACTTTATGTTACTTTTATATAAGAATTTTCTTTTTTTTCTTCTTTAATTCAGCACGTGACTGATCATGGGCCGTTTACGCGAGCGATCAATGAAGAAATCAATATCTCGAAAGAGCCCAACACCTTCTATTTTTTGACGCTTCCGTTTTTTCTTTCTAAATTTGCATTTTGCTATTGTCAGAAAAAAAGAAAGAAAAAATATCCGTACAGAAGTGGCAAATATGACCGCTCGCGGACGACATGCTGGCTTGAATAAGAGACATTCTTTGCGATCTATTGTTGATGATTTCGCTCACAAATGCTTTGCCTTTAGCGAGTATTTTGCTACAAGAAGTAATCATTGTTTGAGTTGCGACTTCTCTACAAAAATACATTACGTAGCGCAGAATTCTTTAAACTTGACAGACATCTCTAAATAGTGCGTTTCTAATGCACGGTGATATATCAGTGACACACAAAATGACAAAGAATGTCTCGTCTCATAGCGCAGGCTCACGATCGACGTACAATTTGCAGTTGTCCTGAATACGAAGTAAGAAATAACCCACGAGCAAGGCCAACGATTCAGCGCATCTCTCCGCCACAGCTCAATTAAAATGGTCATGAGGTGGGCCACTCTTTGAAATCAAAGCCTTGTTGGCCGGGTTTAGGGGCGCTGGCGGCATACCCACCTTGATTGCTTTCTCCACCCTGGTAAGAACGTTGTGGATAAGAGGTGTCGGCATAATTACTGTATGCGGAATACCCAGTGTAATCTGGAGTCTTGGCCGAACTGCTGCTGGAGCCGGGCGCACCTGAACCAGTGTTCTGACGTGAATACATGTCACCTGAAACATTCATCCATAACACCTAATCACCTATGTCGCGCTTGCCTTGTCAAAAAACACGATAAAAACAAGATAAAATACTTTAAACAGTAAAGTACTTCTCGTACTGTTGTACAAATAATTGTGCAACAATACAAATAATCGGAACTCAGTATGCTCGAGAGGTTACTAAAGTTAATTACTATTTCCTAACAATTAATTAAAAAAGGAAAAAATAACAGTTCGACGAAAAAGAGTAATCAATTTGATAAGGGATGTCAATACTAGAAAACAATATTTACTCTTTTCTGGTAAATATTTTAAATAATCAAGTTTAAATTTAAATATTTGTCTATAGAAACAGAATACTACCTCATCCAGTATTCAAGGTTGTATATAAACTTATTTTTAAATAAATTTTTACATTTTAAGTTTAATAATATTAGTATTTATGTATTCATTTTTGTATATCCAATTGATTTCTCTTGTGTTTCGTCCGGAGAATTCTAATATATGAGGAATTTAGAAAAAGATACATGTAATATATTAATAAAACAATTAATGTAGGATGCTACTATACACTTGTGTGTGTGTGTTCACAACTCATAAATTAGGAAAACTGGCTTAAATAACGAAATTGTAGAGACATTCACATGGTATGCAAATAACTGCCATTTTCACAAAAAAACAAAGAATTTATATTGATTATAAATATTTCTCTATTCTATATCTAGTTAAACGAATTGTGATCAATCAATAGAAAACACTAAGTGAACATACACGTAGTACACACAACAAGCAAATATATTTAAAATATTATGACGATTTCAATGTCTTAAAGACGAATTGATGTCGGTTACAACAGTTCTTGTCTTTTCTTTCACTCAGAAATTATTGAGCACGAAACAAAACTAAACTTATCATGATTAATTATTAATAACAGATTATATTTTTCATGCAGACGACATTAATTCGTCATTATTCACGTAGACGACGAAGGAAATGAAAGGAGGGAGAGTAGGATCATACTGTTCTTTGTTATCGTTAATCATTAAATATTAATTCCTTTTCTCTTTTTTTAATTTTCTGTCTTAATTTAAAGCATTTATAATAATTATTATTGTTTCATAAAATAGTCGAATCTCAGAGAAAACTTTTCATCTCTGAAAAAACTATTCTAATCTATTATGACATATTAACAGTATGCTAATCTTGTAATTATGGATAAAATTCTATATCCGAGTAAGTGTGTAGCGATTAATAATATTATAGGAGCATAGCTAACAAACAAGTAGAAAGAAAATGCTATAGATAAAAGAACAGAATTTGTTCCTTTATATTTTCTGTATTGCACCGGCGCAGAAATGTTTATCGTCAATAAAAAGACGTATGGAAATAATATGCGTAGATGTATTAGCACATTTGAAAAAAATTTTACACAAGTTGTAAAACTATGTTTAAAAGTTCTTATCCCGACTTAGCTAAATATATTAAGCAATAATATAAAGTAATAATATAAAAATAAAATCACTTTCTCTCTCTCTCTCTCTCTCTCTCTCTCTCTCTCTCTCTCTCTCTC